TCAAGCTGGGACCATCATGATCCTAACGTAATGGTCCGTAGCCGCGGGGAAACCATTGACCTAAAGCCCTTTTCGGACTGAGTCTGACTGAGAGATTTAATATTTTTCCGTCAATCGAAAAAAGTAACAACATCGGCATGCTTGGCCAACATGGCCGGCTCCCACTGGCGCGAAAAGCAACTTTTATTTTTACCTTTTCGCCTCCAAGTTTTGGGATATTTTTTATAAAGTTTATTTTCATAAAAAAATGTACATCCCAATATTATGCAATATCACCTTTCTTTTCTGCCGATTTTGGTAGAAAGATTCAACCTTGCGACAAAATGACTAAATGATGTTGCCCCGAATTTTGTATTCCGCCCTCTAGCGGTAACTGTGGATGCCCAAACGTGTATTGACTGAACGAATATTGACCTCAAAAATTGTTGAGTAAAATTTGGAAGCATTTGATTGAAAACCAATATTCCTGCCAAATTTCAGGGAAATCGGCTTAGACGACCCGAAATACCCTGGTCCTGCATAAGGTATTAACCATCTTTTGGGGCATGGCACGCCAAACAAAAAAAACAACAACAACAATAACCTAAGTGGCAATCTTTTTGTTACTAGCTTACCTAATGAGACATCAAAATTAATAGCAATGGCACAAGATGAAGGTGATTACACTACGAATTAAGTGATACATTTAATACACAACGGAGTAAACATACACATGCACTTGTAGTCTATAAGCAGGGCTATCGCAGGCACTGCATGAAGCTGGTTGTCAATAGTATCATCACTCAGGGTTATTTTCTTCAGAACCGCTAGTTTCTAAAACAACGAAAGTAGAGAAAAAACAATTCAAATACAGTCCTAATTATTACATTAGCAACAGATTAATCCACCGACCTTAATAATTAGAAGCCATAATTACGGTGGTGATATCACGATCTGACGCGCAGGACGAGCACGCACTCTTATTCCTTTGTCCAATTGGGTTTTCAAACATGCGCGCGCCTCACATGATAACCATCTCGATGAGTTTGTATACATTCATTGTGTGACACTTGATTTATCATAAAAAAATGTTCGATTCTAATTTTAAAACACAGATTTTGGAAATGATCAACCCAGTATTTTGAATTCAGTGAGACCTCCATGATTTTTGCGTATTACATAGCCTTTAAATTCCAGCGGCTGCTTTTAGTTTGTTTAAATTGTTTCAGTGTTTGTGCTATGCCTGTGTTTGCAGAGCAGAGTGGTGCGTCCCAAATTATTAAATTAATTGTGTGTTGTTTTATAAGATAATCAAAAACTGTCTGTGTTCCTACCGACACTGCAGATGACCCCGGCATCTCGGCTGTGGCTACAGGTGGATGCTGTCCAGCTAAGGGACGGGCAGTCATCGAGTTCCTCCTCCGAGCCAGTACAGGCCACGCCCTCCATGTGGACTTGTCCGCTTCCTTCCCGTAGTGCGCTCCGGACTTGGCCTCCACGGCGCTGGGGAACCCGAGTTGTCGGCAGACCACCCCGGCATCCCTGATGTCCCAGTTTCGGTCGCAGATCGTTCCCCATGTGTCGTCTCGGAAGATCTCCACCCGACCACTGAAGTCATTGAGTCCTCCCACCAACCGAACAGTATCTGTTTCAACGATTCAGAGAAATGAAGAGAGCTCTGTCAACATAACATGGCGAACATACTTCTGTTTCATAAAAGAGTCTTAAGAAACCGCTCCTTGCCCCTTTGCATGTCAGCCATCTTGGAGGTTAGTGTTTTTCCTTTTAAGGAGGCATTCATTGTTATAGATTAAAATTAAAGAAAGAAACGGCAACACTAGCTGCTTGATGTAGCTTGATCTGCGCGCTACTTCAGATGATCTAAAGGAAAATGCCGGAACCGAATTATGTTTAGGGAATGCTTGAATGGTGATTGTCATAGCTGGAGGAGAGAGGGTAAAAAGTTTGAGGCGTCAAAATGATAAAAGCGGAGAAAAAACGGGAACATTCCCACAAGGACAACACAAGTACTACACGGATCAGGAAAGGAAAATATCGGAATCCAGTTAAAATTGTAGTCTATGGAATATGATATGCCAGCAGATTTGGCGACTAATTATAAAAAAATAAGATTGCGTCTTGACCTCGAGATCCTGACCATTCAGCTGACGTCTTCTATATCGTATCTTCGGTAACCCGTTGTTGTATTATACAAACATGGCATCCAACTTGGGCAATAACCAGCTTAATTCACCTTTCTGATGGAAATGACGTCACAGTTTCTAAAGTGTACTCCAATTGGATGGCGGGCAGGCTCTCATAAAAATTTGCCTGTTAGGAGATATCAGACGTGCGACAGTTTCTATGCACACGTGAATATCTGATACTCGGACTATAAAAAAAACAAATTGACAAAAAATATAAGTAAATATGGATAAAGGGATGAAAAAAAAGAACACGTGTATTTATATATATGAACCAAAGAGTACATTTTGAAAAGAGGAAGGAACAGTTTCACAATCAGGTGGACAAATACTGATACCTACTTAGTTTGGATTTGCAAACTACTCCGGCAACGTTCGAGCTTTCACACTGCCGATAGCTGGTACTGACAAACGGGCAGTCGGCCAGTCGGCTCTCCGTCCCCTCACAGGCGACTCGGTTCATCATGATCGGCAGGTCGCCTCTCCCGTATTCTGAGGCTGTGTTGGCCTGGATTGCTGCACCGAGGTCCAGCTGACGGCACACCGTGATTGCGTCGTTTATCCCCCAGTCATTAGCGCACACCGCTCCCCAGGATGCTGTATCGCGGTGGTAGATTTCCACACGGCCACTCCAAGCGTCAGTGCCATTCACCAACCTCACATAACCATCTGGGACTTTAAAGAATTCATTTGAATCTATCAGAACGACTGGAATTTTGAAAAATTAAATCTGTTGGAACTATCAGTTTCACTCATTATTTTATTTGAATTTAACGTGGGTGTGTACGTGACTAACATACCAGATTCCTTCATCGAAATTTCGTTTTGTTTGTTATGATCCGAAAAGCTTAGTGATTTAGCACATTCTGCAGGTGGAACAAGGATTTATTTCGCAACGCTCAATTAATTTTGAAAAAATGTCCTCTGTAAAGGCTGTAACATATCATGTCTGAACGGAAATGTTGTTATGCCAATGCCTTATGTCAGTTTTCCTACGGATGAAGAGCTTTTGTTAACTACCTTGCACTTGGCACCCGAATACCTCGAACCTCACTTTGTAGTACTGATTAGTCCAGGCCAGGGGTAGTATGCGAATAAACCTTGCTGTGGGTACCACAGGAAAAGTGACATTCGTCGGCCGACCACTGGTCAAGTTGAACTAAAATGAAGCAAAAGCAGGATTAGAGTGGTAATGATAACAATTCAGTTTTCATTTGCAACATTCCGACACCTGCCCGTACAGTTCTTTATACAACTACAAAACATGTCTTCCTTATCAGCGGATACCGCGTGGAAAACAAATTGAGAGTTAAACCTTTGGTTGACTACTGTTAGTTTCAAAGTGTACTTTATTGAAGGGAATCTCTTTTCATTTCCAGCAGTCTGAAGCCCCATTATAAAATAACAAATGAAAATGAAAATAACAATAATGAATACAAATAATCAGGCAATCTGGCTATGTGTTATTTGAAAAGCTGTTAAAAAAAAACAGAATGCCACATTTTTTACGATAAAAACGGCGTATAACAACTAGTAGAGTCCCAGAAGATGCGAGGATGTTGCCTGTCATCATATATAAGGTATTTATACAGATAGTATACATCAACTCATGATAAACTCATTGCAATAAACAAAAACTATAGACAATGCGCACTTGACATCATTGCATTTAGCCATCTATACGGGTGCAACACTAAATAGGAGATTCAAAAAAATATGAGAATCACACAAAATGAAAACACACGCCCGAATACAGGGTTCCATTAAAAAACACATCCCAATAGGAATATGCCTTTAGGTCGATCCGCAAAATCGTTGGAACGTATTGTGTTTACTTAAAAATTCTGCTTCAGATTCCAGCGATAGATATCTTTTTTCACAGTCTAATTAATTTAGTATCTTAATTTGTAGTAGTTTCGGAGTATTTGCCTCACGTGCAGATTATTCTATTTTCATCCATAAAAGCACTTTCGTCTTTTCACTCGTCATTTCTGTCATGCATTGGCACGACAGAACAGATCAAAGGATGAAATAATGACCCTTTTAAACTAAAGACGAAGGGCTGGAGGTATTTTACAAAACCTGCAATCATAAGACAATCCAAAGAC